TGGTGGAAATCTGCAAGACGCATTTTGTGAAATTTATTTACCTTTCAAAATGTGTTTATCAGCAGTACAGTGAGAATGTCAACAGTCTGCATGTTTTAAGACGAACACACTGTAAGCCTGCAATACTGAACTAAAATAACCTGCCATGCTCACAGAATACAGTCTGTTATCTTAATGTGTGCAAAGGAACTCATCTACATGGAGTAAATCTTCAGGACTACATGGAAACTTTCTTTCAGGAGGTTCAGTATGACACAGAGAACTTACAAAATCTTAAACGTTTTATAGAGTTTCAGGTGAAAAGCTGCTGACATTTACTACACACATCTTCGATAAAGAGCACAGTGTTGATTGCACATTTATCATGAGAACAAACCGTTATACCCACAAAACCTGACAAAAATCGTCGTCGTTTTATTAGGTTGACAAATATCTCAACACTGAGTAATTGTAATATGACAGGAAAACGATTTAAGAACAGTTAAATCTACACGAACATTTATCTTCTGAAACAAAAAAGCAATCAACAACAGTGTTTAATACGAGTACCTGCTCTGAGATTTCTTCTTAAACCCGACAAAGATGCTGCACCAACAACACCACAGACGACAGAATGACTGAAATCCTGATACCTTTTAGAAAAAAAATGAGAAAGAAGAGTATAATAATTTGAACAACTATAAAAATAAAAATAAAAGACTCAATGAGAAAACTGACTTTAAAACACTCCTAAATTCCTGGGATTAGATCCTGATTTCTCATTTAGCTCTGTTAGAAGAAACATAAGCATTACAATCACAAAGTAGTCATCATTTTATAAATCAGTGACTTCAAAAGAGTTTCATCATCATCATGAATCTTCACAGTTACCTCTCTCTGAGGAGCAGAGAGCAGTGGTGCTGCACATCCCCCCTGTGTGCTGTTGTTACGTGAACCTGAGAGCACCGCTGTAGTTTATTTACACCTATTTACATCTTAATGTCATAACTGGAAACAAAAACACTGTACACAAGTGAAATTACAAAAACCATTTACCATAATTAATTAGCAGGACAAAAGTAAATATGTGGAACATGAGACAAAACATTATTACACATGTATACAATGTATATACAGTGCATAAAACACAGAGTACTGAATGAAAAAAACAATCAGCATTTGTGTTACACGTTCATCCGGCTGGTAACACCTTGTTATCCAGCATATTTGTTTCTGGCACTTAGCTGGTTCCACTTGTTTGAGAACCTTAAGGGTTAAACAAACAGTGATAGAAGCCCTCATCCTGCTCCGTCGCGTTCCTGATTATTATGGAGCAGTTCTGTACAGTATGTTTAAACTTGAGCAAAGCCATGATTCACTCTCTGACCAGCAGTAGCGGTTTTTGATACGGGCGACACGGGCGGTTGCCCGGGGCGGCTTCGTGGTGGGGGGCGGCATCCCGGGCATCGGCAAAAAAATAAATAAAAAATACATTGCTCGTACTCATGCTGCCCCGACGTCAGCCAGCGCATATTGGGAATGGTACAGGCACCGATCGGTTTCTATCGCCCATTTGCTGGGAGTAAGGGCGCCCTCCGTTTGCAAGGTGCGCCTGCTGCTTGCGGCACAGGGAGGAGAGGGCGGGGCGGCGGGGATTCACTGACCGGCTGGAGCAGCATCTAATAACCAACTCACAAAATAAAAAAAAATGAAAACAAACCAACAAACACGAAAACACCAGACATCATGATACAGACTTATAATTTGCATCGATGTTTTTTCGAAATTCTATACGCAAAAAGTGAGCGCGAGAGCCCTCGGTGCGCCTGCTCGCTGCTGAAGTCAAAGTAAACTTTATTGTCATCTCCGCTACAGACAGTCCAGTATATAGAGAGACGAGACGACGAGGCTCCAGTTACAGCAGTGCAAGTAAACAAACAATAAATATAAGAAGAGTAAGAAAATAAATATACACGTTAGGACTCGGGGTAAAGGGATCAATAACAATTTAAAATGTATAATTTAAAGTTTGCTGATTTAAAGTCTCACACACAACATGTCAAAAGGGGAGGGGGGCGGCTGCTTCCAAATAGAGCACATTTCATTCATAATGTAAATCCAAGCCCATCATGTATTCATGATTTGAATCCTGGGTTGTGTGAAATCCCAGAAATAAACTAAAGTGAATCTGTGAACTAAGGTGTAGGTCTATTAGGTTATGTTGTGGTGACCTTCGAGTTGGGGGATTTGTGTTCATACTGGAGTGCAAAATGAAAACCAATGGAAGATGGACAAGAAAAGTTCAAAGCCATCAGGTGCTCAGTTTAGAAAAAAGAGAAAAGAAGAGGAGGAGAAACGAGCCAAAGATGCAGGTAAGCAGATGTGTGATTGGATAATGGTCAGGTCATTCTGAAACAACCAGAGTCAGAATACTTTATTAATCCCTAAGGAAATTATGTGAGTTACAGTTGCTCCAAGAAGAAATGGTAAAAATAGCAACAGTAACAGACTAAACTCCAAACAATACATTATGTTACAGATTTTAATATTAATTAGTCATTGTCAATTGTTGATTTGTCCTGTTCTCATTGTATGACAAATTATGATGGCTGTTTGGTATCCGTTTGCATATACTCTCTGTCTCTTCATATGTGTGTGTGTGTGTGTTTCTCTGGTGAAATTCAGTATGGTTCCTACAACAGTTTTATCCTTAATATGTTTTATGTGTTTGTGGCGGCGGGGGTGGGGACAGGCTAGGACCGCCACTGCTGACCAAAGTACTTGTAGGTGACAACATTCACCTCCCCATCATGGGAGAATGGTAGATGTCGTTCAAATCATGTCATGTGATCTAAAGAATGTATTTCAAAGCCAAAGGATTTATGTTGAAGTTCACAAGAAATTTGACATTACATGTCCCAGTCAATTGTCCCAGTAGCCAGAGATCGGTGTGCCAGGGTCTCCTCTCTTTGCCACCATGTGGCACACATTGCACCTGGCCCGTACGGCGCTCCTTGTGGGTGGTGACATGTACGGATCATACATGTCTTCTCTTCATGCTGTGCCGAACCAGGCCCCATGGGCTAAGGCCTGGTCAACAGGCACTCTTCCTTGAGCACCCTCCCTGCTACAGGTCCCTGGTAATCCTTTTCCAGCTAGGGTTGTAGAGAACAGTTTTACAACAATTTCAACTGTTGTAATTAAATATGTCAATGTCTGTGTAGGTTGTCAATCAAGGTCATGATGTCATGGTAGCAACTGGGCTTCTTTAAGTTTCGTAAAGAGGTTTCACCTCTCATCTAGTGAACTGAAGAAGCCTCTAAGATGAGAGGTGAAACATCTTCAAGAAACTGAAAGAGGTCCAGTCGCTTTCCTTCCAAGCTGCTTGGACTACATATATTATATTTATATAGCATTTTACTCTGGGTGTTGCCCTACAGTCTACTTAAAACACATTTGCGTTCTTATATCTTTTACTCAAATAAAAATTAAAAGAAATCCAAAAGTTTTAAACGTACTTAACAAATGCTTAGTCCTTTTAGTAATAAACTTCAAATTTGTTCTCCTCAAAACCTCAGCATTTTTATCATGAATGAACAGACAAGCTCAGGGGCCATGTTGTTCGATTTTACCTGAAAATCTGTTAGGAATCATTTACATTTGGTTGTTGGTATCAATATCAATTCCAGCAAGAAAAGAAATTATATCAATCAGATAAGTTTGGGCAATCGTGGCTCAAGAGTTGGGAGGTCGTCTTGTAATCGGAAGGTTGCCGGTT